TCTTTTATATTAATTAATTTTTTATCAAACTATATTGATATTTTGTTGGTAAAATGGCATCAACAAGGTAATGCCTACTTATTTGACCAAAAGTTTCAGAAAGCTGGACTTCCTTTGATAAAACATATGAGGTTTTAATAGTTCGTCCTGCTATCCATTGCCACCATTCGATCTATTATGTGGTAATGTTAAATCTTAAATGAAATTTTAATGCACTCTAAAAATCAAAAATAGAGTCGTTTTTTTCCAATGTTTCCTTAAATTGTTTTTCGGTACTTCCACTACCAAATTTGAAATATATTTTTTGTTGCTCGATATATTCTAAATATATTAGTTCAACCTGTGCTTATAAACGAGGTTTGTTTCTGGAATATGCATCTCATTTTAAATTGTTAAAGAAATGTTTTACTCAATGATTTGAAATTATTAACGCTAAACATTTCTGCTGTAAATCACACCACACTTTCGAAATTTATTTCCTCTGATAAGTACATTTTCACTAAATAACTGTACCTTATCTTAATACAGACCTTAACACAATTTAATTAATAAAAACTAATTAATAAAATATTTAAGAATTGGTTCGATACAAGTTGAATTTCTTATACTAATGTAAACATCTGAAAGACAAGTAAAGATTTAAAAAAAAAAAAAGTCCTAAAGACTAAACCAATGTCATAACTCTTTACTTCCTTGGACAAACAGAAGAGCACTTTTTGATATTTCCTTAAAATACGCAACAAAATTATCTAACCCAGCAGGAGTACTAAAACCAAAAGTCTTAGCTGATATAACTACGAAATAACTACGAAGAGTTCACATGCATTTATACCGATGGGTCGAAAACATCAGAAGATGTTGGATGTTCCGTTGTTCTACCTACGGAGAATACCCGCTACTCTCTAACCTCCATTTATTCAGTCCTGCTCTCCGTTTGCCATTTATTTAGCTTTTGGTATAATAACCAATGAAATTAGCAGTAACTATATTTAGAAAACTTTAAATTATGTAACAACCCCATTGTCTTCCAAATCACACAAATCATTCAACAAACAAACATACTATAAGCTTTATGTGGATCCCCAGTCATGCAGGAATACGGGGCGATGAACTGGTTGATATAGCCGCAAAAGAAGCATCCATCACACTTCCAGCACCAGACTAACATAGCGCTCTACGATTTCAATATCTCAGTCTTGTAGGCCAGTGTAGTGAGGCCTGGCGATATTTTTGGGCAAACGTTCCTGGTATCCACAAAATGAGAAGCATTTTTAATGACATAAATCCACTTCCACAGATTCAAGGAAACCGACGGGAGCAAACTAATACCACACGCCTCAGAATAGGGCACACCAGGCTCACGCATGGGCACCTACTCGACGGTAGTTCGCCACCAAGATGTCACAGCTGCAATACAGCTTTGATAATGGTACACCTTATGGAAAATTGTCCCAGCTTGGATCCGTCAAGGACTTCGTATCGCTTGCCAGGATATCGACAAGCCCTACAATCTGAAAATCAGAAGCATTTACTTCAATTTCTGAAAAAAAAAAAAACACAATTACTACAGACATACACTATCAGGCAAAAATTCCCACTTGTTACCCATTAAAGAACCACGTTGGAAAGGTTGGTTCTGGGAAAAATTACAGCCTGCATATCTTACGTTTCTTCTTCTCCACACCCTTTCATGCCCGGTCTGGAGATCATCTTTAAAAAGTACAACACTCCATTCGTCCATAGTCCAATGGCTGTGTTCTCGAGCAAAAGCCAGCCGTGTTACTCTGTGAGTTCTGGTCAACTCTGGTCCTCTTACTGGACGAAAAGCCATTAATCCATACTCATTTAATCTTCTCCGAGCGGTACGTTCAGAAATTTGCACACCTTGAACTTCTTCGAGCTGATGAATCGCTTGAACAACGGTAAGGTGCGGTTTCGTAAAATTCTGAAAGTCAAAAACCGGTCATCCCGTGGTTCTGTTACCCTAGGCCGTAGAACCTTCTACAGGCCTTCTATTGTAAGAACCAGTTTCCCGAAAACGCCTGACGGCGTCTCGTAAAGTTTCATATGGAACTCCGATGGCATTAGCTGCATATCTAATGGGACGTTCATCATCAATAAGTGCCAACATCCTCAGCACTAAGAGGCATTTTTAAACTTAATATTGAAAAAATTAAAAGCCGGAGACTAAGAAATGTGCTGTAAGAAACGGCACTGAACTAATGATACTGATTAAACATTTTGATTCCATAGAAAGTAAACATTGGAATCTAGAATCATTTCATTGAATTAAGGATTAAGGATTATTGTCCTCTATATTAACATTCCTAATTGAAAACAAACAAAAAGATTACCTATTTATTCATTAAAAACAATAGACCAATCCAAAGCAGAAATATTTTTAGACGAAAACATGAAAACATCGAGTGAGTGGAATTTGTTGCCTGTCAGTGTATATCCATTTTCTATATATTTAATTTCGTGATTTAAATTGAACGCATTTTACTTCTTGACCCATTAACTTTTATAAAAATATACAACACGATGCCTACAGACATATTGTAATGTAATTCAATAACCATTAAGGTGCTTCTAACCTATATAGTTGCACACGGTACCTAAAATAAAATCAAATTCCAATTAAACTCAATTTTCACACGGAGAAAATATATATATATATATATATATATATATATATATATATATATATATATATATATATTTCTAAAAGGTTTTTCATCGATTAATGATTGTAATTAAATACTAAAATGGTTATATCAAAATTTTCTTAGCAATTAAGTTAGAAAAAAAATAACAAAACAAATGTGTCAATGTTTCGCGGTATATTGTCTCTGAATATGTTTAAAACTATCCCAGTGACAATATGAGAATGAAATGAAAGATGGCTTCTGGCTGCAAAATTAGATATTCATTAATTAATTTAAAAAATAATGTATAAATAACTCTAAAAGGACAAATTTTTCAAACCCTTTTACTGTGATCGAGTAATTGGTGTTAGTGCAAAAAGTTCATATAGAGGTCACAATAAGTATTCTGCACTATTATTTCCTTGGATTTTGTCTTTTCCTTTCAGCTGTAATTTAATATAAATTGTTATCACATTTCATTCAAATTTATTCTCCCATTAACACCAACTTCGGAATTAAATTACACCATGAGAAACATTTTTAAAATTTTAAAATCATTCCTTGTACATTCGATGTCACCATCTATCTGGCTTCAAGTATATATAAAACATTTCGAGAAAATAAAATACTCGACAATTTGTATTTTGTCCCCGATTTTAGCCTTTCAGTTTTATCTTGCTACCTTTATATACCAAGCTTTTAGAACTCAGTGACTCTCCTATATTTTACAAAGCCTACAATTTAAATACTTCATTCGCCTATTCATCCCTTTTTTCCCAATCCGCTGGTGTTCCTCAAGGTAGTATCCTAGGTCCTATCCTCTATACAGTTTATACAGCTGCCATCCCTACCTGTCCCAACACTGTCATCACCACATATGCCGATGACACATGTATCCTATCAGTAAACAATGACCCAGCAATTGCATCCCAAATGCTTCAATCACACATCATAAATCTAGAAGAATGGTGTCAAAACTGGATAATTAAAATAAACTCCAATAAATCCCACCAAATTACCTTTACCCTTCTTCGTAAACCAACGACTTCCTGTCCTACAGTTTCCTTTAACAATACTCCACTTAACCCTGTTGAGCAAATCCGATACCTAGGACTCCACCTGGACAAACGACTAACTTGGAATCCTCATACTAGACTGAAACGACAAGAAACCGCTCGACGTTTCCGATTACTTCAGCACTTACTAGACAAACGCTCTAAACTTCCCATTAATTACAAAAGACTCATATACTTGACTATAATAAGACCTATTTGGACTTACGGAGTTGAGCTATGGGGCTCCACTAAACCATCGAATTCCTCTCGCATCCAATCCTTACAATCCAAAATCCTTCGTAAAATCCTCAATGCTCCTTACTTTGTCACTAATAAAATTATCCATAAAGATTTTAATGTTCCTTATGTTTCAGATCTGCCCCAATCCAGATACATATCCTTCCATAATAAACTTCAGAATCATCCCAACCCTCTCGTTTCTAACCTTGCTTCCTCTTCAATTCCTGTTAACCCTCCGAGGCGTCTGAAAAGAAGATGGCTCCGTGATCTCCTAATGTAGTCATATCATTAGAGTGCTACCATTGGGTAGTTACTAAGCAAGTGTATTCATCTCATTATATCTATTATGTCCAAATTTACTTGATGTATTTATGTAATACAGTTGTAAATGTCATTAAGAAATAAAAAATACTTTATTCAATCCCGGCCCACTCGATCCCGTACGCTCGACCTCTATCCTCCTCACTGAACTGCTGATTTGACTAATGCTTTGTATAATGATTCAAGCCGTCTCCCTCTGGAATTCTATACATTCCGATATTCGAAAAGCACAATCAGTTTTCTGGTTCAAATCTCTCCTGTTTTTTAAGCACGTATTCTATTCCTAATCTGATTGATCACGAAATGCACGTAAGAGAACTCGGTAAGTAACCCAGATACTATTTTGTTTGTTTATTTTATCTTTCACTGTTTGTTTTATATATGTATGATTTTCCCCCTATTTCTGTCTGTAATTTTATTTAATATTACCTATTATTTTGTAAATATTTAATTTACTTTATGACAGCAATGACATTTATTTTGCATTTATAATTAGTTCTAAAGAGACACTAGTCCCAGGATAATAAAATTATTTTCATTTCATACTCAAAGTACCTTTATTACTGAGAGAATAGAAGCCATAATTTAATATATTTTAATTTATTAAATATGTCAAAACATTTATTTCTATATTACGCAGATCCAAATATAATAAAAGGATCCATAAAGCATTATTAGTATTCTTGCTTTTAAAACAATGTTTCGACAGTAGTTATGTTTTTCAGTAGAAAAAGCTTTACATGTGAGATTGTAATGGATAAAGAGATTTGTAAAGAAATTGTTTATTAATAAGATTATTATCATTTGCTAATCCAGTCTTAGCTGCAATATGTTGGCGACGTTCATGTTCTTGGTGGCTGTGACGCAATGGAACTCAGTGTTCTCTTCTCCCGCTGGTAGCGAACATTCGTTGTTATCAGCTACGAAACCCTTTGAACAAAGTATTTTCAAATTATTACTATACATATTATTTATTTCATTATTTATTTTATTATTTATTTATCGGCTTAACAAGCGTCTGGCGCTGCCCTGACATTTTCTTAGACATTGCGGTCCATAGCAAGTCTGCTGAAAACTCCGACCATCCTCAAGTCCACATTCACTATCCGATGTCCATAATATAATTACCTGGCTACTTTACCATCATCCTTTCTGATTACGTGTCCCAGCCTTTCGAGGGGCTGAATTTGCGCATCATTGTTCCCTTTCAAACCTGTCAACCTTTTCAGCTAGTATTTTTCGTAAGATCTAGATTGTACAGGCATAGGTCAACACCGGTTGTATGATTGTTTTATGGAGGCATTTTCGTACCCCGAGTTCGCAGTTTACTACGGAGAAAACTTGTTAGGGTAAAATATGCCTTATTAGTCGCCTTAATATGTTTTTTGAATTTCCTTACCTTCCTACATCTGATTATTTACTATGGAGCCAAGATATTTCTAAAATTGGAGACGTATACTTTCCCACTACATGATGCTAGGTGATTTCTTCTTAAGCAACTTAATTTTCGTTTTTCTTTCATTTATAAATAGGCCCACTTTTTCTGCTTCTCATTCTAGCCAATCGCAGGCCTCCTCTATAGCCCTGAAGGTCAACCCAACAAGAGCCTTACCATCAGCATAACCAAGCACTTGCGTCATTTTATTAAAGATTGTACCTGACTGATTAAGCTCGGATCTTTTCACCATGACTTGAAGGGCAATATTAAATAGCACGAAAGTGTGTATTCTGGTCTAAGTTCAGACTTCGCTGTCCATACTATTAGACATGTTGCGCGATTTTGGTCTGTGAGATATGTCTCAGTTTGTCTACGTAGACATTTCTATATACCAATTCCCGTCTGAAGGCCTGTTGCGATACCAAAATTCGTAGGTCTAAAGTCACCCGAACGGAATAGAAGACATTATGGAACGTTAGACTTGTTGCGCAACATTTTGACAGTGTGTACGTCATTCGACATCTAGAGTAGGGATGGGTCGTTACAGATTTTTAGTGTACCTGTTCCAATTATCGATACCGTTATAAAGCCGTTACTCCAGAATTTACAACCATGAGAGATAGTCGATAGTTTTCCACTATCGATGAAAAACTAGCGGTAGTATCGATAGTTTTCCACTATCGATGAAAAACTAGCTGTAGTATCGATAGTTCAGCGACTTCCCACCACAGACTAAAGGAAGATTTATTTGCGTTCTATTCTTTGTTCATTTACTTTAAAATGTTGCGTAAGCTTCAATTTAATTAATATAACATTTAAAATTAACGTTTATGTGGAATGTAACATTAATATGAAATAAAACATTTAAAATTATAAATTTTATATTCCGATTTTTACAAGATTGAAAATCCAATTATATGGTTACTGTCATATTGCAAATAATCTAAAGAAAACTAAGAAAATTAATTAAAATTAAAGAAAAGAAACCTAAAAATAACGTTAGTAAAGAAAACTAATTACAAGGTTAAATGTTGGTGTCTAAAAATGCGATTTTTTTTTCTCATTAAATTGTAGAAGTGATAGTAACAAGTACTAATATATTTTTAATGATATAAACAAATTTTTAAAGGATTCGTTTGTATATGTTTTGACTTCTTCGTTGCAACATCATTTATATATTTCGAAACAGAATTATTAAGAAGAAATCAATATAAGTCAATTAATAATTACAGGCTAAGTATTTTACAAATTACAATATTTTTTTCATTTTTAAAAATAATACATATTGTTACAAATGCTTTTAAAAAAATATGTACGAAACAAAATTAGTAGAAACGTAGATGCTACTTGTGGTAACGTAGTATTGTATGTTAAAATAAAAATGTAAAAAATTTCATGCACTCCTGTTTTTAGGATAATTAAGATTACCAAATTTTTGTGTTTATGGTTTTAAACATTTTAGAAATAGAATTATTTAATATTTCATTAAATAAGTTTATTTTTAAAATAGTGAAAGAGATAATTAAAATAAGATAATTATTTAAAGAACAGGAGTTGCCATTTCTCTGTTCCTCATTTAACCGGCCTCCCCACTCCTTATCGATCCAGCTAGAACAGAATTGGAACGAGTCTGGAACGATTTGCAAACTGTTCCTCCGTTCCTCATCGAACCGGCGCTATCGATAATTCTCAATCGTTGGAACAGTTCCACAGTGACAGTGTTCCCGTTCCCGATCCAGTTCCATTGACCCATCCCTAAGGTTCGGCTGTTTACAGTTATTTTCCAGAATCATACTGTTCTTTTATAAACCTGTTGTCCAATGAAAGTTTTAAAACTAATTCAAGATTATTAAAAATACAGCATAAGAAATAAATACAGCCTACACCTTATATTATATAGTGACGATATATTTTTATTTGTTTGCATTATTTATTTCAGGTATTTTTCGTAACAAAATTCGTTGCAGTCCTGATACGTGTTGCCCATTAAACACTAAGTGCAGTCGAGGAGGCTACTGGTGTAATAATGGAGCATCGTGAGTTTATTTTTATCTAGTTGATATATAAAATCTAAAATCAATAAGATTTTATCTGAAATTTATTAAATCTTTGTTGCAGATGGTCTCGTGCAGAAAAGTGTTGACTTGCTTAAAGAATCAACTGTTAAATATTAGTTTAATATTGTAATAAATATTTTGTAATATTGCTACATTTTTGGCATAAAGGGTTTCAGAAACAGCGTTGATATGTATTTCTTATACATTTCTATATTATCAGGTATTTTTAGTATACCAATTATATTATGTCATATTTCTACTTCTAATTTATTTAAAATATCCTAATTCTATATTTAACATAAATAAGAAAAGGATAGATTTCACAGATCTAGTCTATAGTACAGATCCTTTTTAATCAAATTATTCCTATTTATATTATTTCCGTCTAAAAGTTTGTGAGTGGCTTCACTTATTGTAACCTACAACTTTCATGAGAAAGTTGAATCATAAGATAATTCGACCACATAATCGAGAGAAAAAAGGTGGCCTACAACTTGGACAGTTTGAGAGGACCTCCTCTCCCAAGAAGTCAAAATAACGAGGTTATATGACCCAAAGGAGCCTTCATTCTCTATTTAGTAATCAAATTAAAAGCATTTAAAAAAAAAAAACTTTTAAAAACCAATCAGAGAAATCATTATAGTACGATTTTGTGATGAACCAAAGCAATATATGTATCAATGTAGGCAAGAGAACAACTATTAAAATCAGCGTATAAAATTCAATACACTGTAACTTTGCTATAACTGGTCCGATTTTAACCGATTTCGGTTTATCATTTTCAATAATAAACCATTATAATCGCCCAAAAAAATAAAAAAATTAACACCCTTTCAAAATTTGAAGTTTTGCGTTTTACGATACGTAGAATTCAAAAATCGAATAAAAAAAATGTTTGGTCTCCCGTCCGCGGCCTCTCCCCGAGACCACTAGACCAACTTTTTTTCAAGTTCGAAATCAAAGACTTTCCGCCCTTTCCTTCCAAGATGGCAGTTGAAAAACCTGTATTGGTTGTAGCGCCTAAACGAATTTCAATGAAACTTGACTAAAATCTCCTCCTCGATGTCCTTTAAGTTTATCTATATAACGTACTTCAACTAAAGAAGCTAGAAGAAAAGTTACGAAGGGTGATAGCATTAAATTTCCGAATAACTCAAGCAGTATACACTTGTTTGTTGATGTTGAAATATGTTTTTTAAAGTTTACGAAAAGTAAAAAAAATCGGTGAAATCGGACAATATGGTACAACGATATGGTGTTCTAAATATTGTTTGTATATTCTACTGCAAAGTTTATATCTTTTGTTTTTGTTTTTGATTTTTTAAAAGTTTTACATGAACTGGTGCGTATATTTTTTAGGTAATTATCGATGATAAACAAGAAGATTATTTAGGTCAATATTAGGAATTCCTTTTTATTCATTATCCTTTATGTAATATGAAAAGTAATCTTGAATTTGATGGTAAATTGTATGGAAATAATAAATCATTGTGTAATAATTTGCAGCGTTTTTTAAAATAGTTTTTTCGAAAATTTAATAACCTTTAAAAAAATTAAGCAAAAATGTGGGGGCTCTGTACTAACGTAAAGATCTGTTAAAAACCGATAGAATTTATTCTTTGGGCGTTAATCTCCAGAACATTTTTCTTTTCATGGTAATTTTTTTTTTTTTAATTTTCTCGGGAAAGCACTGCCTGTACAAAAAATGAAAGGAGTACTTTCTCTTATTTTATATTACATATATAAGTATAGTTGTTTTTACTTTCACTTACATTTATATGTAGTATATAGTATGGGGAAGTATTGTAATTTTTTTTTTAACTTTTTAAAAATCATTTGAATAAGCGTCATTCTTTAGAATAAATAAATGAAATGTTTTAGATTTCATGGTATTATTTTATTTATAGTTGTTAGCAGTAGTAGATCCAGAATATAATTTTGGAGAGGGCTTCAGCCCAAAAGTTTTATATATATAACGACAATTACCGTCTTTGCGGTTTCGTTGCGAAACCGTCAACGTTTCGAACCGACTTTGCAGGTCTTCTTCAGGGAGGTGTGTCCAGCTAGGAGTTTCACTTAGATCTGAAGTTTGAGTTCTAAGTGAAACTCCTAGCTGAACACACCTCTCTGAAGAAGACCTGCAAAGTCGGGTCGAAACGTTGACTTTTAATAAAATAGTTTTACCACTATTAGCCTATTTACGACCGCCACCACGGACCATCTCCTTCCTTTTCTTATTAGCTCTATCCATATCTTTTAAAGCCTTTTTACATTATTTTTATAAAAGTTAATGGGTCAAGAAGTAAAATGCGTTCAATTTAACATAACATTATTAAATTTTTATTTTTCTTACTTAGAACTATTTAAAAAAAGTTATGTAACAATCGTAGTTATTTATGAAAAAAATAATGGATATACTTTTTTATATTTATTTTTATATTCGATAAAAATCGAAAATATTTTTTTAAAATGAAGGTAACAATTTTTTTTCAAGAAAATTAAAAACACACACACACATATATATATAATATATATATATATATATATATATATATATATATATATATGAAATCACGCATACTCTAATTAAAGAAGATATTATTGCAGTTTATTTGTCTATAAACAGACAGAAGTTAAATATTACATATTAATATAAATAATAATACAGTAAAAATAATTGTAAAACAAATCTAAATTTCATTCATAAAAATATATAACTTTGCATTGATAGCGAAAATTATGTACAAGGCTGGCCGATCCTCGTTCCTCGTACAAATACGAGGATCCTCGTACGAATGGCAACAGTGACTCCCACTCCATATGATCAATGCCTTACACATTTCACAGCCATTATATTGTTACAATTATTTATAATAATTTTAATTATTAATTGTAATTCAATGAAATTGATACAAGGCAATTTCTATACTAATCTCTAACTTTCCTCCAAGTTTGGGTGAAATCGAACGCTTACTTTTCAAACTATAGGCGTGTCCAATAATGGAAAACATACCGGTAATTTAATCCTTGATGTTTTAAACGTAAAACTCAAGTGGAAATTTTCAATTCTGAACACAATTTTTTTTTAACCTCTCATACGAATAAAATGCTTCCCTAAAATCGATAGTGAGGAAGCAAAAGCGAAAACTTAACGAAATAATATCTGATACATATGGCATCTTAAATACTGAATTATTTTGTAATTATATGGGTTGACTCCATGTCTCCTGTAAAATTAAGACAAGATTATGTATCTCTTGGTAAGAGTATGACTGAAAGAGAGATTAGGGACGAATATACTCGGAGATAGTAGAGGGGATGAAGGAAGCCTGAGGCCTTAAAAAGGCAGTTGGTAACAATTAATATTATTTGCCTACATCTGTTATTGTTCTTTAAGTCTTGATAAGGAGTCCTGTAAATGCATTTAGACAAACAGATAACCTTATCTTTTGGATTATGGGTATTGTCAATAGATTATATAGACTCATTTACATAACTCATATTATATAGACTCATCACTTATCATGTTACATAAGCTCTGTATTATAAATGAGGATTAAGTTAAATTTATTATTTTAATTTGTTACGAATTCCATTTCGATATTCTTTGAAGTATATTGATGAATTTACAGATGAGCCAAACACTTCATAGTTTCAAACAAATGCACTTATCTATACTTTACATCGATAGTCCTCAAATAATGTATGTAACAGAACTTATGGTAAAATAAATAAAAACAGAACTGATACTTCTTAACTAATGATACACAAGGTTGTCCCTCTACTTCGGAGGAATGGGGGGGGGGAGGGAGAGGGAAGTGAATGTTACAGTGTTCATTTGGTGACTTGCTAATTTTAGAGACACCTTTTCAATTTTCTCAACTATTGACCTGATCTGTGCTTATCAACAGATAGCAGTACGTATAAGCCATGTTGAAAAAACTACAATTAGCAGCTCGGGCTTTCGAAATCTTTTTCATGTGCTTCGGCTTGAGGAATACAGCACAGACCTTACAAACATTTGTCAACCATGCTTTTCTTACTGTGTTTCTGCTTTAAATATTTGTATGACAATCTCGTAGATTCTTTCAGCTCTGATCAACATGTCGACATAGTATTTAGTCATCTTAAAGACTACGGATTCTTTCTATAACCAACTAAATGAGATTATTTACGGGCCAAAGTCAATTTTCTGGCTCATTAAATATTCGAAACAGGAATCCAAACCCTAACTAAGAAACATATAAACATGTCGTCTGCATCATGTTAAAGTAATGAATTTACAACGTTAAACAGGTTCACATTCGTTACTTCAAAATGGCACCGACGATATAAACAATGGGTATTGAAAGCCAAATAGTAAGGTTATGCGAGCTTTGTGGTTCTACAAAAACATCGAATCTTCTTTCAATATCCAATTCTTACAATCCAAAATCCTCCGTAAAATCGTAAACGCTACTAATTATGTCACAAATAAAATTATCCATAAAGATCTCAACATTTCTCTTGTTGAAGACTAAGTCCGAACTATATATTCCTCTTTTTATACCAATGCGTCTAAAAAAAGATGGTCAAGTTTCTACACAAGTACTGATCATGCTACATATTCTTATAGCAGATTTACTTGTTGTATATATGTATACAGTTGTAAATTTCATTAATAAAAAAAATAAAATTTACGCAGTAGACCTGTTTTTTTGATGTTTCAGAATGGAAAAGACTTCTACCTTTGTTTATGATAAGAATTTAAAAATTAATACATAATTTTTAATTGTTTTTTTTTTTCAGAACAAGTTAAAATGTCTAAACGAATTCAAGCAAAAAGGGAAAAAAACTAACAAAAATAAAAAGCTGTTCCATTAGGGATTGCCCAAAAGGGGGTTTTATGGCGCAAGTTTGGCCATCAAAATTAACGAGGGGGCACTTTTTGGCGTGGTTTTAAATTTTTGAGGGGGCACATTTTGACGGGGTTATGAATTTTCAAAATGAAAAGTTTCAAATCAAAATTTAATACCCTACAAATTCGATTATGTGTTTTTTTTTTCTCTTGAGGAACTCATCTCCAAGTTGCTGGGCCATTTATAACATAAAATTTTGTTTCAGAGTTTTTGACCAATTTGGTAAAGATCAGCGTTGGTTGACCGTAGTTTCATACCTTACCACGTAATCAAGTTATAAAGTTTATGAGCTCGTTGACACACAATTTCACTTCCGTTAATT